TTTAACGATAGATTCAAATATCTTGATCAGAATTTCAGGTGCCTCACAGGCAGTTGTAAGTCTGTTTATGAGCTCACAACAAATGTTCGCCAGTATTATTTTTATTGGTGTCGTTTTTCTATGTAAGCTGGCTGTAGGGAGGAGGTATAAAGAATTTTACGCCTGGAAGAATGCGCACGGTTTACGTCCTATATCAAATTAAATTGCGTTTAAGAATGAGTCCTTCATGCTTTAATTTGTGTAGTTGCGTATAGCACACCATAGAAGGACAGAGTCAGAAGTAATCGTACTCTTTGCTCATTCTGAAACAAGAAGACTGGCCGCGATTAAAAAATTCTGAAAGAAACTTTAATCAAGAGCGCTTATACTTTTGGTATCGAAGGCAATATCGTAGATATCCGGGGCTGGGAGCAGATTCCCGATTGCAGCCCACTCTCTTTAAACATAAATGGTAAATGAGAAACTACTATACAGCTCAGTAATTTCTTTATGGTAAAGCATCAGAACATTCATGTTGCTTTCGATTAATTCTGCTCTATTGGTGAAATAATCTAAGTACTTTGATGTTTTCTGTTTATTTTCAACGTATTCTTGGATTCAAAAGATCTGTCTGAATATCAGCTTTGAATAATGCTTTAACACTGTTCCCCCTTTCTTCCGATGCTCTCCATCATCACAATTGATAGTTCGTTTCTGATTTTTAGTCAGAGACAAGCAAGCTCGATCATATTACACATTACAAACTACCGTGAACAAATTTAAGACCCCTCAGATTGTTTCCTTTGTCCTCAAAGTTTGAAAACAGAAGGCAATCAAGACTCCGCTAATGAAAATAACCGCGTTTAAGAAAGGGGTTTAATTTAGTATCAGTTTATTCTAACATTACCCTTTAAAGTTTAACCTGTTCGTTTAACAGTAGACGCTGATTATTAGTACCCATTCACCTGAAATTCTTTGGCAAGATCATATTGGCAGTCATTTAATAGCAATAAAACGAAAACTCCGGTGATTTGGAAGTAAATACCAAACTTTGAAAATTTGTATATTCGCTCGATATTTGAGTTCGGATATTAGATATTGCTTCACTATAATAGAGTTTGTTTTTAATGTGCGAGCAATATCATCAGCTCACGTAATATTGAAGACCCATATTGATACCGGACCGAACCTCCTCCACTTGCCATTGAGACAACTTTCGTTAGGGGCCGGTTACGCTGTCCTGGTCCAAAGTGTAAGCGCAATGTGGGCATTGAAGGGAAAGTAAGCCGAAGGGGGGGGGGTGCTGAAATCGTTGGTGGGTAAGTAACCAAAGCCAAAATGGAAAAGGGCAACATGATGTTTCGGTTTAGATGTAGAGTTGGTTTTAGGGCTTAGGTTAGTGTCAGGCTGAGAATTAAGTTTAGGGTTAGGTTTCGTGCTAAGTTTAAGGGTTTCGGTTAGAGTTAGGCTGTGGAGTGCGGTTTAGGTTTACGTTTAATGTTACGGTTGGAGTTGGGGTCAGTGTTAGGATTAGGGTAGGTTTACGGTTAAGGTTAGGGTAATGGTTACGGTTTGGGTTACGGTTAAGGTTGGGGTTAGGATTAGGGTCAGGATTTGGGTGGGAGGTGAGGTTAGGGTTTGTAGTAGGTTTGGGGTTAGGTTTGGTGTTAAATTTAAGGTTAGAGTTACGTTTATGATTAAGTTAAATATTAAGTTTACCTTTGAGGTTACGGTTAGGTTTACCGTTAGGTTTGAGGTGTTGCTGCACCACGTGTCCTGCCAGCCAGGTCATTTGGGGGGATTTTAGACTTTCTTCAGTATCGCGGCAGACTTGTTATTCATCAGGTTGCCTTTGCCGTTTTAGCACCTGCTACTTTCCCCACTACGTATTTCAGCATCCCACTTCGGCATACTTCCCTTTTAACGTCCACATTGCGTTTGCACTTGGATCAAGACAGCGTAATCGACCCTTGCCCAAATTTCCGCATGGCCTTTTGATCAACGACAATATTTTCAGAAAATATTTGTCTGCGTTTCTGGGTCCGAGTTTTATCTTTGATTATGTTAGGGCTTCTGACAGCCGACGGGTTCTTTTTCTTTTTCACTTGACTTTAAGTTATCGAAGAAAATTGTAATGGTCTTCTAAGCACTCTCCGCTACATAAGACCATTGATTATATTCAGGAGAACTTAGGACTGTTAAGCAGCCAGATAAACGACAAATTACTTCGAGGCAAAGCTTTGAGGGAAGCATCAAGCCCCTCGACATCCATGCGTACATCATTCAAGGCCATACATACATTCAAGGCTCCGTATAAGCGCAAGAAGGTTGACCGGAACTCATCGAGCCTCATGTCAGGAAAGTTGAGCTTTACAGAGTGGCCCGAGGAAGATTGGTTTCAGTGTCGAATAGGAAGAACGCTCTAAAGACTAGGGTGTAGTCTAATCCGTGCAAATGCAGGACAATCTTATCATGTATCCACGTTTGCTTGTTACTCAAAGAAGAAAAGAATACGTCTTCAACTCGACTCACTAGTGGCAGCTGATGGTTATCTTAGGACCAATTTGATAAACCGCCCCTGGAACTATCTGAAAAAAATAAGGCGTAAAGCAAGTCAACATACGCAGGCTTGATTGACATTCCTTGAAGGCGTTATCACAGAGTTTATAAATTTCTTGAGGGAAAGGTCTGATCAAAAGAAAAGTCCGTTTAATTACGTGTCCCAGAGGTACTGAAGTAAGAGACAGGCTATAATGGTGCGTAAATTATTTTAGAAAATCAGCAGTCGAATAATGAGAGCATTGAGTTCTATACCTGCTGCGGACGAAACGTTTTGCCTAAATACATCCGGTCGGTTGAGTTTTGAGAAACTTACCAATGTGGAACTAGAGGGGCTTGTAATTTCATCCTTATCATGTTGTTTAAAATCGGCCTACTGGTAACAATCTCTGACTTTACCAAGAGAAGCACTCAACTTTTTTTACATTTTTCGTCGACACAATTGTATTGTAATGGGAAATGAATATACCATCATTACTATTTGTCAAAATCAAGATAGGCTCGCCAAAATAGTCTCCAGTGGACCTTCTACCAGTGCAAGATTCAGTTTTGACAGGAACTTTTACTACAACGTGAGAAAGGCCTACAAATAAACTGTACGCTCAAGTGAGGATATTCCCCCGAACCCTGTCGTTGTAAGTTTGTACAGGAGTATTTAGCGAGAAGTTTTGAAAATAAATCGAGAAATGTATGATGGACAACGGAAAGTTGTTTTGAAAGAGCGTTATCATCGAGGCCAGTGTACTTTGTTTGCAATAATTGGTTATCCTCACTTAATCTGACAATACGAAGGCTAAACGTAAAATTCATTTAAAGGATACTGGTCACCTCGAAGGGTCAACGAAAGGATTATTCTCTTTGAGAGAATTACAGGAGTAATCCAGGGGTATGCTTGAGGATGCTCACGGAATTTATTCGAAAATTACTCTCGTCATGACAGCACAGAATTGCAGGATACTGCAAATGCCGTTTCCTTCAACACGGCGTTTAGAAGTGGCCTGCCTCACCCACTGACATTCTTACTCGACCTTGTCCCCGTGACTAGTGTCTGTCACCAAAGATCAAGGAAGGGATAATTAGTCATGTGTTCGAAGCCGTGAATTGTTCGTTTTTGCTGTCTAAGTATAGGTCGGTTAGTTTGGAGGGGAATTTCAAGTTGATGTTTTGACTGCCAGGTCCAAGAATTCAAAAATGAAGTGTACTTGATAGATATTATAGGAAAACCTGATTTGGCAATAAATATCGGAAAAATTACGAATTCCATCTTTGCTATTAGGCAATTATGGGGTCCCATACTCCGTTTAACAAACCCAAATGCCTATTCAACTTCTGTTCCTTGATGGTGGACGTCATCCTCGCACACTGCAGTCCCTTTTGATTGCACAATTCGAATTTTTCTGGAGTTTGTTATGGTTTTTCTTTCTATGGAACCAGAATAAACTCAAATTACTTGCTATACTATATTTCATTTTCTCATACATATCTGTAGCTTATAGTAAATGTGTGAACGAATCACTGGTCGCTATTCCGTAA